TTATTTTCAATTTATCCCTCAAATGTAGACCATGTTTGGTTCTACGGTTCTGGCTGAGATATAACAACATGTTATAAATTGCATTATTTAGACACCGGAATTCTAAAAATCGCAAACATGTCACTTATCAACATTTTCAAAGGTGAAAACTCAGTCAGCCGTTATAATCACTGCAGTCTCACCAACTCCTGAGTTGTTCTTGGTGCAAAAATTTCAAGTGCATTCACCATTGATTTAGATAAATTATGGGATTACTTTACTGTTATGGCTGAATACTGACCTTTCAAGTATCCCAACATTTGATTGCTTTACTTCCTGCCACCAAGTATTCTCTCAAGTTTTAATTTGCTAATCAGAGCTCCATTGTGTTTCAATTTTCCATGAGTATTTTGCTTTCCAATTACAGAAAACTTTTGTGACTGTGTTTGTTGCCATTTAAATAAAGTTGTATTTCTTAATATTGAATTTCATCTGCAATTTGTCATCCCAGTTCCTAACCACTTGACCTATAGTGTGTATGATAGCCTCTGGAAGACAAACTCAGCTAGTCCCATGTTCACTTTTTTTTCCATTAGGCCAGCAATTTTTTTTCTCTTCAGCTAAGTATCTAATTCCCTCTTGAAAGCCATAACACTCTCTCATTCAGTTCATTCTAGATCTTAACCACTTGTTAGATTGAAAAATAAGTTTATTTTTCTATTACTTTTGGTTCTTTTGTCCTTCACCTTAAGTCAGCCTTCTGGTTCTCAACTTTTTCACCAATAGGAGCAGTGGACTGAATTTCTTTTGGCTAAGTGTCAGTTTTGTCGAGTTTCATGGACAGTTTCTCACCACAAGCCTAGCAAGACCTCTCGTGGTAACTTAGCAAACCTGCTTCATTTAACTAACCACCTCACCCTTATGGTGCCCTTCTAATTTAATTCCAGCCCAATTCTACCATTTGTCATTCCTGGAACAATTCCATTCTAGAATTGTTCGGTATCCCTAGCACCAATGCAATCTTTAAAAGGCCATTGAGCATCCAACATGCACTGTTATTCCAGAACTGCCCTGCAATTTTTGTGATATTTTTCATGGACGGGAAAATCAGTGCTGCGATTGGCAGGTAGGAGCCTGGACGCCCTTCTGGATGGGGTGGTGCAGAAGCATTACGTTTCTTCTTCGGTCAAGACCAGAAGAGGAGGTCATGACACCAGACCATTCCGGTCTGGTCCACAGTTGCCCCCTGAGTTAATGCTGTCTCGACCATTTGGAGGAATGCACTGCAGTGTAGAAAGAAGCTCAATAATCTTCTGTACTGTGCAGGTGCAAGTGCCACCATCTTCTTTCCAATATCTCATCCTCTCATACTGTATCCACCTCCTACCAAGGGTCATGCTCTACTACTGTCACTCAGGGCGGCACGGTGGCTCAGTAGTTAGCACTGCTGCCACAGCGCCAGGGATCTGTGTTCGATTCCACCCTCGGGCGACTGTCTGTGTGGAGTTTGCACATTCTCCCTGTGTCTGCGTGGGTTTTCTCCAGGTGCTCCGGTTTCCTCCCACAGTCCAAAGATGTGCAGGGTAGGTGGATTGGCCACGCTAAATTACCCATAGTGTTCAGGGATGTGTAGATTAGGTGGGTCATAGGGAGATGGGTCTGGGTGGGGTGCTCTGAGGGTCAATGTGGACTTGTTGGGCCAAAGGGCCTGTTTCCACACTGTAGGGATTCTATGATCTATGATTGCCTGCAACATCGTCCTTCTCCAGATGTCTCACACCCAACCTCACTAATCCAGCACACCTGTGTGTTGTCTACTCAGGTCATCTTCCCACCTTCACCAAAGTAACAGTTGTGCGATCCACTTTCATCTTCCATGATACCTTCCTCTTTCTCATTCCAGAAAGAAAACAAACCACAATAGGGCAAAAGATTGTTCAATGTTCAGCACCACTCTCATCTCCTCAGATACTTAAGCAGTCCATGTTCAAATGCCACAAGATCTGGACCAGTATCTAGGCTTGGGTTGACAAGTGGCATGTAATATTCACATCACACAAATACCAGGCAATGGCCATCTCCAACAAGATGCAATCTAACCACTGACCCTTGACATTCAATGGTGTTACATCATTGAATCCCTCACTATCAGCAACCTTGTGGTTAGCATTGACCAGAAACTCAACTGGACTTTCCATATAAACATAGTGGGTACAAGAGCAGGTGAGAGGCTAGGAATATTGTGATGAGTATCTTTCCTCCTGACTCCCTGAAGCCTGTTTACCATCTACAAGGCACAAGTCAGGAGTGTGATAGAATATTCCCTGCTTGCCTGAATAGGTGCAACTCCAACAACACTTAAGCTTTATACCATCCAGGACAAAGCAGCCCACTTGATTTGCACCACATCTACTCCCTGTACCACCAATGCTCAGTGGCAGCAAACTGTGCTATCTACAAGAAGCACTGCAGAAATTCACTCGAGATCCTTAGACATCACCTTCCAAGCCCGTGACCACTTCCAACGAGAAGGACAGGGCAGCAGATACATGGGAACACCGCCATCTGCAAGTTCCCCTCCAAGCCACACACCATCCTGACTTAGAAATATGTTGCTGTTCCTTCCCTGTCACTGGATCAAAATCATGGAATTCCATCCCTAAGGGCTTTTTGAGCAATTGAGTGATTTTTTATGGCAGTCTGCCCCAACCCCACTTTTCCCATAGGCTCCGTTATTTCTATAGCATGATTTTCTATAACGGGGTGTTGCACTATTGCATTATAGGAATGCAACTATCGCATTATAGCAGAACCGATTGTATAGGTGTATTAATATTGGGTTAGATTTGACAATGTGCTGTTCAGCCAATGGAACGTGCTACTGAGCCACCTGTTCAGCCGTTCCAGCCAGAACTGATTACCATACTGTCTGTGGACTGCAAGGAGAAACCCACTGCCTCAGGGAAGCCTCCTGGCTCTGGGTTGCACAATTTTGTGAAACTTGGAAGCCACCCGGGCTATAAAGTGGTTGCTTGGAACAGGTAAGGTTAGCGCAAACAGCCCAAATTTTCTTTTGTGCAAACTAGAGAACAATCCTGCTTCTCCTGGTCCCACAAAATATAGAGAACTTATCTGTTAAATTGACAGAAAGTAGAGTGTATGCAATGCAGGTTACTTCCCTTTCTGCCCTAAAGTGGCGCTTGCGAATAATGTATGTCATTCCACCATAATGCATCTTAAAAGAACCTATTGCCTGAAACAAGTCAATTGTTTTGGATACTCGATTGCAGTCAGAGCACTGATTCTGGAGAGGTATTTTCTAAGTAGTAGACGGAGCTCTGGAGCACGACCTGTTTCACGTGGTTGAGAGTTTCTTAACAACATTAGTAGCAGTGGAATACCAACAGGGATCAGGATACCTGATTTCATTATTTGAAAGATTGAATCCAGGAGTCCGAGGGATTGGCATACCTTCACTCAGAACTACAGAGGGCTGAGCGTTTGCCTAGATTCGCTGCCTGATAGAAGATCTCGGGAGGCGGCTGTTTCGGTTTCTGGAGTTAAGCTAAATGTTGGATTTTAAGAATTTAAATCTTAATTTTGTTTTCCCCTTGTGCATGCTTTAAATTTAAAACTGCAAGTAAGGGAAGGGTACTGATTTTGAAAAGTTGTATTTCGAGCTTCTTCTTGTAGGTCTTATAATACAAAATAAAGGAAATAAGTTCTCTAAGCACAGCATGTCATCAGCAACAGTGTGTTCAAATCCAGCATTTACAAAGTGTGGATCTTCTCAGGCAAGTCTAAATTAGCTCATTTTTAAGGGACAAAATGGCAGTCATTGGAGTGGTATGCTTTTCCTGTCAGATGTGGGAGATTAGGGAACAATTGATTGTCCGTGAAAACTATGTCTGAAGGAAATGTGTTTGGATGTGTTTCATAACAGACTGTTTAAAAAGCATGAAGTTTGATTTATCTCCGGGACCTGATCAAGTGTATCGAAGGACATTGTGAGAAGCTAAGGAAGAAATTGCAGGTTTCCTCGCACAGATATTTGTATCATTACAACCGTGGGTGAGGTGCTGGAAGACTGGAGGGTGGCTAATGTTGTGCCTTTATTTAAAAAAGGCTGAAAGGAGAAGCCAAGGAGCTATAAACCAGTGAGTCTAACGTCAGTGGTGGATAAGTTGTTGGAGGGGATTCTAAGGATTTGCATGCATTTGGAGAGGCAAGGACTGATTAGAGATAGTCAGCATGGCTTTGTGAGTGGGAATTCGTGTCTCTCAAACTTGATTGAGTTTTTTTGAAGAGGTGGCCAAGAAGATAGGTGAGAGATAGTAGGAACTGCAGATGCTGGAAAATCTGAGACAAGGTGCAGAGCTGGATGAATACAGCAGGCCAAGCAGCATCATAGGAGCAGGAAGGCTGACGTTTTGGCCCTAGACCCTTCGGGACAGAGCAGTAGACGTTGTCCACATGGACTTTAGTAAGACCTTTGACGAGGATCTGCTGATAGAC